TGTGATGTGTCTGTTACCAGGGCTTTGCTGGAAACATGCACTTCTTAACAGTGAAAACTAATGTTTTACCTGGACAACAGTGCTCCCTTCAAGATATTTTATTAGATTGTACCCTGTTGTTTGCTCTATTAATATCACCCTCTTAGTTTGAGTGTATTGTAGGAATTCCAGTACTAGGATATTATGCTATTATGCTAGGAGAGCTTGGGGTATATGGGCACGAAGCAGTGCTAAATTTTTTAGAGATTAGTAATTTTTCTCTCCAAACATGAAGAAATGTTTCAGATGGTTCAACAACAGAATGGATTTTCCTAGCAGGGCTGCGATACCAGTATTTTAACAACTGTGGAAAATATGTTTTCCGCACTAAAATTAGGGGATTTCCTTGTGTATGTAGGACTGAGTACTCTGAACTGCAAACTTCAGCATTAAGATTATGTGGTATAGCCTAAGAGACATGCAGCTTTAAATGAGGGGGGGAAGCATTGGGGGGGGCAGGGGGGAAAAGGTGAGTGAAAAAAGCAAATTGCACAAATTAACAGCATCAATGTCACAATGGCAAGCTGGCTGAATTCGGGCAGGCAGGAACCGATTCCAGCTAGAAGAAAACAAGGCCTTTGACTGAGCCCTTCAGCATGTTTTTATAAACTTGTGCACAAAAAAGAAACTAAAACATCTGGCACCAGGATATTATGCAATGTTGTCTTATGCTGTTTTCATTGTCTAAGTTTCTTCATGAGGACTGTTAACGAGTCGCTTATTGTTGTTGGATCACTGTCCTGAGGTGCCTCTATGCAAGTGAAGGGGCACAGACTTCTCCAAACTCTCCCTTCAGCATTTGGCAACCACTTCTGTGCCAGCCAGTTTTCCCCTGAAAGCTTTTGCGTGCAAGAAGCAGGAGAAGCTGCTCAGCAAGCCCCTCCAGGCCAAACCTCTGCAGGAAGGTACAAGGTGATCACCCCAGTGCTCTGAGGGCTATGAGCAGACAATGGGTTAAGTAGTTAAAAAAGAAAAGTTGGCACTGATCAGGAGATGTATTGGCATATCAGTTTTACTGTGGATAGGAGCGTGGGTGGTAGGAGAGCCTTGGTTACACACATGACTTCATGCCTGTGATATGCAGGAACGGATGCCTTTGCTGTTCTCCTTCCCCTCCCCTTCCCGTTGGGCTGGGTTTGCTGCTGCTCATCCCTGTCACTCGCTGTGCCAGGGCAGGAGCAGGAAGACCACACTGTCTTGTGTGCTCTGTGTGTGTGTGGTTGGATGTACAGTCCCCCCCTGCTCTCGCCTCTTGGCTGCCTTCAGCCGAAAAAAGCCTTACCCTCTCAGGGCTCACCGGTTCTTGCTGAGCCTTGTCTTTGAAGCCAACACCCCTTCCTTTTCTATGTCTGTCATCTGTTTATGGCCAAGGGCCACATCTTTGCTTCTCCTTTTCATTCTGTGGCTGGCTGCTTACTAACTTTAATAAAGGTATGATGCTCACAGGCCCGAAGGTGGCTCTTACCTTGGCTTCCACTGCTTTCATCTCCCACTTCTCCACCTACTTCTTGCGCTCATAATTGTCTGCACCTCACCTGACTGCTTGTCTGTGCTCTCAGTCTGAAAACTGCCTGGCCCAGGCCAGTTCTCTGGCTGAGAAGCTGCTTGTTCTTTTGGATGAATTTCTGTTGCTAACAGCTAACACCATGTGCCAAAGCCTTAACTGTGGTCCCAGGGCCATGCCTTGGGCTGTGTAGGGGAAGGGAACCAGCTGCCCACAGGTGGTCAGTGGGGTGGTGCAGCTGTCCCTGTAGAGGAGAGCTCCACACTGGTGTGTCTGAGCTCTCCCACCTCTGGGGCTGCTGTGCACCCTGGCCTTCATCTGAGACACGCAGCCCTGCCACCCTCCTCAGATTTGGTGCCTGGCTTTCTGCTTGACAGGGGGTAAAACAGCAGACGGGTAGGTCACCTGCCCCCCAAAACCCTCTCCCTTCTCCCCCACCCCCTTATAAAAGCCCACATTCAAATTCCAAGTCAAAGGAAGCCTCGAGCCAACAAGGGTTGCCCTTGAGGGTCTGCACTGCTCCTCTCTCTACCTCACATATACCCATCATTGTAAAACATCTTCCTCCAACCATTACAGCTTAATGACTTTCCCTTCAACTACACAAGAGGTATTAATGTCTCCATTAACAGCCACCAGAAATGGAAGTTCCATATATCACAAGTACAGCTCCACATCCTTCTCCTCGTGCAGAAGTTTCAGAAGCCATTAAAATGTAGCCCTGCAGAAAATTAATGGCCCAGTATTCAAAATCTGTAATTGCTGCTAGTGGTGAGGAGGAGGTAGAAGTGCTGAATCTTGGTGTAATTAAGTACCTTGTTCTGCAGCTGCTTCTTCCCCATGCCAATGGGTTGTAGGATTTGCGCTTCACACGCAAGGGATGATAGGAGGCAAATGGTCCCTAATTAAGTGTTATTTGTCCAACAGAATTAAGCATCAGGAGAGGTGCCAGTACATGGCTCCTCTTCCCATAGCACAGCCTTGAAGGCTGGGGTTGCATGAAAAAGGAGGGAGCAGGAACTGTTCTAAGCTGCTTCCTGGAAAGATGCTGTTCAGGATATCCCCTCTGCTATTGCAGTGTAAGCAATGGAAAAACCAAGTGGTGGGGTGGATGAGCCCCATCTGCTCTAGGGCATTGGCTCCAGCCTGTGTTGCCATGTAGGGGACATCAGTGGTGATCAGAAGTGCTGAGGAGCTTGGCCCTTCTGGACACAGCTTGGTAAAGCCAGAGGGGGCCCATCCAGGGTTGAGGGCAGAGGGGATCACTAGGACATTTGGAGCCTGCTCTGGTTTTCCTCAACCCTGTTTCAGAGAGGAGATTGCAGTTGCTCTTGTAAAAGCCTGTGGGAAGGTGCATCCATGCAGCTGCTGGTCTGGTCTGCCTTTACAACCAGTACCAGCTGGCTTCAAACTGAATTAGTCACCTGTAGGCACTGGGTGTTTTGACAGTGCTTGTATGGGTCTCTAATGGCATAAAGCTGATTTAGCCTAATTTGTTGTCAGGGCTCCTGGGGCTTGTGGTCTATATTCAGTTAAACCAGACAACTGTGTGCTGAGGGGGCTGGGAGGCAGCCTGTGCACTGAACCTGGGAGAACTAACAACACCCAGGAATGGCCTGCGAAGGACCGGGGGGCAAACCTCAGCCCCTGCAGCCGGTGGTGCCGACTGGCAGTGCTCTGCCTGCTGCAGGTGCCCTGTGGCTGGGGGGGGGGGGGGGGCGGAGGCGGGGCA